GGGGGGGTAAAGTCTTCGTGGCTGTTTCCTCATTTTCATATCTCTAGAATAGACGGTGAATTTGGGGGCTTCTACTTTTAAATTACTGTTTAGAACCGAAAGGGGAATTACTCCACAACCGTACCATTCTCTTCAGACTGATTCGTTCATCATAAATTCTGTAGAAATGATCGTTTAACATGATTGGTTGCTGCATAATTGTCGAAGCAGCAACGGAGACGATCATGAAAAATTCCATGGAAAGGGTTACTATGTGATGATTTCACTTGTGTTGTTTGTCTAACTAACTTTTAATAAGTAAGTCGCCATGTTTATGTTGGTTTTTGAACTGTTGGTAGAAGAAAGAAGGGAAATAACTCTGAAACAAGACTCGAAACTGTTCTCGCAAAAAAAAAATTAATTAAGTAGTGCACATTATGGGAATTTGATGCGGTGTGATTGTATAGAATCAATGTTGGGGGAGAATGCGGCGTCTTATCCTTGTGGAAACTCCTTGTACTCATACCTAATAAACCACAAAAGATAAAGGTAAGTTTGATTCTTTTTTATTTTTAATGTAGGTGTTTTTACGACCCATCGACACAATTTAGATCATTAAGGAGGCGGGGCTCCAATCCTCCTGTCAGGGCCAACCTGGGCTCAGAGCTGAGGAATACAATGTCCCAGTAGAAAGATCGAATTACCCAGTAACCCCCCCCCCACTACCCCTTTATTTGGGATTCAATCTCGGGTCTCCTGCGGGTAACTGCGATCAAGTGCCTGATCGCTAGACTACAGATAACGATAGTGGAAGGTAGGAGACAATATCAGCAAAATTCCGCTTTCCACTCATACCCAAGCGAAAACTGAGTGTGAAAAAATATAACATAAAATTGTATGCACCTAACTCCCTTTGCAACACTGTAAGATTTATGAGACAAGATCATAAGAACCGAGCCAAGTGGGAAAATTTGTATTTGATGTCATTCCTAAAGAACAAAACTGTGAACTGAGCAGATTCTCGAACCCACGAACCCGCAATGTAATGTTTAAGGTGTTAATGATTTTTTTTTCAATTGCCTTTAAAAGTTATTTATTGCTTCAGAGGCCTTCTTTTCCAGAATGATCTGCTCTCTATCTATACTCTCTCTCTCTCTCTCTTTCTCTCTCTCTCTCTCTCACTCACCCTCACTCTCTCTCTCTCTCTCTCTCTCTCTCACACACACACACACACACACACACACACACACACACACACACACGCACACACAACAGACGAGTGGATATCAGTGGAGCGAATTCATTGGATTATGAAGATGCCAGTGGTCTGCTCAGTGGTCATTGCATTCAATGTTGAGAAGCATTTTTTTCTTGTTGACAAGCACAAAGAACTCGCAATCACCAAGGACTCGGACTCATTGCATTGAATTGAAAGTCTAACATAAATAATTACCATAATACATTATTCTACCATCATGAATAAGGGAGAAAAAAGACGGCATGGAATGGGAGATAAAAGGTTTTAGATAAATAGAAACCGCTTCTTAATTAAAGACTCAACTCAATTATAACGATGGATTGATTATTAAATTGCTAACTATCAGATTAATTGGTGTCACGCTGGGCCATGGTAAAGAGGGACATTTTTTAAATTAAAAAATGAGACCATCTTTAACACAGATTGTAAGGAGTATCTAGGGTTAACTCTTCCGTTTGACTCGGTCTTGTTATAGTAGGACTATAAGTCAAAAGTCTTTTATGCTGAAGGACCTTGCAATCTTGAAAAAGCATTCAATCCTTTACCCTGATCAAGAATCACAAAAGCATTAGGATACAACTGCACAGCAGGACGATACCAATCGATCGAGCTTTGACTGGGTCGAGCCATTCAGAAAAGCTTTTTTTAAAAAGTTAAGTCCAGTCGTCTCTCATTCCTCGATATTAATTTTAAAACATGATTTAAACGTATACCATACCACAAAATCATCAAAACAATAGGATACAACAGCAAAAGTTACAATCTGGCGTACCCTGATTTTTTTTTATTCATGCATTATTTCCTGCATGTGTTGACATCGTGAATATTTTAGGAATACCACGGCTCCTAGAGTTTACTCCAGCTAAATTTGTTTAGATGGGTTGATCTTCAGTGTCACGACGCGATGGAATCAGACGCGATGGAATCAGACGCTCGTCAATTTTTTTTTGGGGGGGGGGCATGAGGAGATATCGATATCACCATAAAGCTTGTTCTGTTGTCTTGCTTTCGGTGAAAAAATGTTCATCTATCTTGAATAGAAGTCGAGATATTTGAGGCTGAAGGAGGTGTGGGTTGCCTGGTTTCAGAGGCAAAGCTAGCGAGAAAATGGCCGCCAAAGTTTTGTGACCCCCAAAGCTTGAGAGTGCTTGGAAGCTGCAATTTATATTTTTAGTGCCTTAAATCAACTTTTAAAAGTAAAATCCACACACAAATGTGTTTTTAATAAGACCTAACAGGTGATGAGTCTAAAAACAAAAATTCGAGAAAAATTTGCCAAAACGAGCGGAAAAAAGCTGATTTCTTTGATTTCATTATTTTGACCAGCGCCTGATTTCATTACAATGCCTCTCTAATGATTGTGTATTGGAACTGTTTCTTCTGAATAGTTTTGACCTCTTTGTGGGTGGCTGGAGGGTACTTTGATGTAGTTTGCTCCTTCATTCCAATCAAACATTCGCCGTCCTTGTCACTCCTCCTTCTTTGGTGTGTTTATTACTCTCTTGTAATAGCTCTAATCTTCGGCACTCATATGTCCTCTACTTTTGTTGCAAAGTGCAGTAAAAATCTTACGAAAACAAAACAAACGCCATTGTGTCTTTTTAATTATCAAAGATACAGATTATAGGCTTTGATCATAAATTGGTATCCCCACCCTTTCTCTTCCCCGTTCTCTTCCTCACTACCTCAGGTTGTCAGACCTGATTCTTTGGATACAATAAAGAAGGGTGTTTGGAGGGGGGTGGATGAGAGGGGGATTCAACTCGCCTAAGGAAGATCAGCACTTATGAACATCGAGTTGAGTTTATGCATGGGTACTGTTAGTTTCTGCTGACCATATGGACCGTATTCCTAACTTCTAATTGTTCTGTTTTTTACTTTGACCACAGAGGACACAATTATTTGTTATACTGTACCTTTAAACAAGGGATCTAGATTGTGTATTGCAGGGTAATAAAACTTATTTTCAAAACCCCAAAACAAGTAAGTGAGTTTTGAGGACAGAAGCGACTGATCATATGAGTGGGATACTGGGGTCTCTGTCAACATCTCAAATGACCGTCTCTGATGATGCCTCAGTCACCGAACTGCCCAGTCTCTCTGCCTGACCTATCATGATGAGCCCACCGGTCTGTGCAGGGAAAGGAGCTATCACCGCTGTCTCCTTCTCCGCGGGGCGATGGTGGTGCTCTTCTTTGGCCCTCGGCGGAGTCAGACCATGGCCAGCGGTCAGTCTCGCCAGGTCAGAGCCTGGCATAGAGTTGCACACATTGAGGGCAGGCTCACTGGTGAGGTTTTGTTGTCGGGACTTGGTACACGGCGAACCTGTGGACAAAATGCTGCGATTTTACCTGTCGTTTTACAAAGGAAATAGAAAGGGGTTTTTTCCACTTCACCTGAAACCCCAAAAAGATTGACAACAACTGTAGGCATGCTATGAAATGCATAAATGTGGGCTCATGATTTGTGTTGCACTGTCCAAATGTGCCGCAACATGGCTTCTGGTCTGCTGTCTGACGTAAATGTACCAGGATACCTGGAGGTGTCATCTTTGCTTCAGAGGTTGGCATGTGATAACCCGCCATTGCTTTCTGTCGCCAAATACAGTCATGCCTTGATGCTGTCAGTCCACATTGTTCGTTGTCCGTCCTTATCTCTTGTGCCCCACATCTTGCCTTCAAATAAGTCCTTCATAAAGGTCTGTTGGCATTTTATATGACCAAGTTATTGTATTTTTCTCCTTTTCTGTTTAACCCTATCCGTACGCCCTGGGGTCACTTTGTACCCCCGGGCTGTATTCTTCACATTTTAGAATACTTCTACTGCGAAAATCTCTTTGAAACTTTCAGTATTTCTCAAAGAATCGATTTGACAGACTGCTATGCAAAGCGTACGGATCAGATTAACGAGTAAATTTTCTCTTTGGAAAGTGGTGGCACAGAGTTCCCCACGTCGTATGGACACGGTAGTAAAACACGACGTACGGATAGGGTTAACAGGGTTTGTCTTGTGTGGAAATGTGTCCGTTTCGACCTCAGAGCGACTGTTTAGTGTAAGACTCCGCCATATGCCTTTTTGAAAAGGGACGTACGACGGATTCTTACACTGAGCAGTCGAAAAAAGCTGACCCTCCATTTCTTATAGGTAGTGTCCATTGGCATCCTCGGTTCGGTTCTGTTCGGTTCTGTCGGTTTTGTCGGTTTGGGGAGTGGAAACACAGTCAAAGACGACAAAACTGATGATGAAATTCAATAACAAACGCGTGTGTGGGGTAACGTGTTACCCTCTCATTGAGAGGTCCCGGGGTTCAAATCCGGGTAGCGACCAAAAATTTTTCTTCTCTAAAATTGTCTCCTTTCACCTCCTTTCCTGCTCTCTAGCAATGTTCTGACGTCTGCTTTCGTTTCCACTTTCTGCCCCCACCCCTCACCTCCTTTTCCCCTCATCTGGACTCCTGGCTCTTTCTACAGCTTTTCTACTGCTACTCCTTAGCTTCTTCTTACAGCTGTCTTTCAGCCACACCCCTGATCTTCTGATTGGAAAGATCTACTCCTCTAGCCTTCTCGGACAAGGGCAAAACATATCGGAGGGCCTGTGTGCAAGTTGCGCACGTTAAAGATCCTTTGGTGGTCTAAAATCAAGAAGAGTAGACTTCGACCGCCACCCGGGCAAAATTCAAAATTTAATTTTTCTACCAACTGAAAAAGGTAAATGTATCCCGCGCGCTCATATGACCTTATGCAGTTGCGAGCACCGTAATACA